TTCTAAGTTTGATATTTATATGTTGTGAACTGTGCGAGTCTCATTTTGAGTCTCATTTAAGAGTGGAAAGCAGGGTAATCATGGTGATGATTATGTCGGTGTTGACTTGAAGGTGCATAACAACAACAGTTTTTCAGAGGCCACCCATATCCATGCTATTTCTCAGATTGTGGGTTGATCCCATCATTATTACCATTATTATGTTTATTTATAGCCTGCTTTTTCTCTCCACAAGGAGTCCTACCAGTGTTATCAATTCAGGACAAGTGTTGCCATTTCAGCTCTGCTAAAAGGCAAAAAAGTCCCATTCAAAACGATCAGCCTCACCCCCAAATTGGGTAGCTTTGTGTCCTTTGCAGACAGGATCGGCTTTTGTTCGGTTTCCACTCTCCTCATTAAGGAAAAACCCAGTGATAGTCTCTCTCACCTTTATGGCTCAATTGTATTTAGTAGGAAAATCAACCTGAGATTGGTATCACAGCCTGTTCTGGGTGGGTGGCTCTCCCTCTGAAAGATCAGTTTTGCAACTTGCAGCTGAACTTAGACCCAGCATTGCTTCTGGAAAGTCAGGCAACAGCAGTGCCTTCACATGATTTTATCCAAATGTACTCTTTTGTGGGAATCATCCCTTAGTTACCTTTATAGTAATGTGCTCTACTTGGGAAGTGTTGCTGTTATTGTTACCGTAATATTTATTTATGTATACCATCACTTTCCTCTCTTAAATGAGATTCAAAGTGGATAATACTCAAAGTGGGTTTGGAAGTGTTTGACAGTCACGCTTGGTGCAAAATGGAGCAGCGAGACTGTATCACAGTGTTTCTCAACTTAGGGGTCGGGACCCCTGGGGTGGTCACAAGGGGGTGTCAGAGGGGTCATCAAAGATCATCAGAAAACCCAGTGTTTTCTGTTGGTCATGGTGGTTCTGTGTGGGAGGTTTGGCCCAATTCTAGTCAACACCGACATCATAACCACCATGATTACCCTGCTTTCCTCTCTAAAATGAGACTCAAAAGCAGCTCGCAGTAATTCAATTCAAAACCCACAACATATAAATATCAAACTTATGGAAATATTCTCCTGATTTATTCAGAAGAGGTTGGCCATTGCGTGACTTGCCCACAATTCTTGCAGTGGGTTTTGGATTCGAACCCGAGTCCTAGAATACATCTACACTCCAGAATTAATGCAGTTTGACTCCACTTTAACTGCCATGGCTCCATGACACTGAATCCTGGGGGGGGGGGGGGGCGGGTCACGAGGGGGGGTCAGAGGGGTCCAAAGACCATCAGAAACACAGTATTTTCTGTTGGTCATGGGAGTTCTGTGTGCCAAGTTTGTTTCAATTCCATCGTTGGTGGTTCAGAATGCTCTTTGATTGTAGGTGAACTATAAATCCCAGCAACTACAACTCCCAAATGTCAAGTCTATTTTCCCCAAACTCCACAAGTATTCACATTTGGGTATAGTGCATATTCATGCCAAGTCTGGTCCAGATCCATCATTGTTTCACAGTGTTCTCTGGATATAGGTGAACTACAACTCCAAAACTCAAGGTCAATGCCCACCCAATCTTTCCAGTATTTTGTGTTGGTCATGGGAGCTCTGTGATCCAAGTTTGGTTCAATTCCATCGTTTGTGAAGTTCAGAATGCTCTTTGATTGTAGGTGAACTATAAATCCCAGCAACTGCAACTCCCAAATGACAAAATCAATCCTCCCCAATCCCACCAGTATTCAAATTTGGGCACATTGGGTAATTTGTGCCAAATTTGGTCCAGTGAATGAAAATATGTCCTGCGTATCAGATATGGACATTACAATTCATAACAGTAGCAAAATTACGGTTAAGAAGTAGCAATGAAAATACTTGTTTTGGTTGGGCCACAACATAAGGAACTGTATTGAGGGGGTCACGGCATAAGGAAGGTCGAGAACCACTGCTATATCAGATCTATGCATTTTAGAGATTGTATAATTGGGGTGTGGTTTCTGGGCTGTATGGCCTTGTTGAAGCAACATTTTCTCCTGACGTTTTGCCTGCATCTTCAGAGGATCTGATGGTGGTCAAGCAAGTGGAGTATATATACTTGTGGAATGTCCCGTGTGGGAGAGAAAACCATTGTCTGTTAAACAAGTGTAAAGGGTGCAGTTAGCAAGCTTGATTTGCAAGTGTTGAATGATATCCACCCATTAGCATGTGAGTAACCATGAAGATAGTATGTTCAATTAGTGAGAGCATCTGCCTAGAAGTAGCCCGGCCTTTGTTCCCTTTGAATTGTTTACTGTCTAGAGCAGGCATGGGCAAACTTCAACCCTCCAGGTGTTTTGGACTTCAATGCCCACAATCCCTATAAGCCTCAGGCCCTTTCCTCAGGCCCTCAAGCTGCCAAAGGGGAAAAGGAAGAGGTCTGAGGCTGTTAGGGATTGTGGGCATTGAAGTCCAAAACACCTGGAGGGCTGAAGTTTGCCCATGCCTGGTCTAGAGACCACCCTTTGTCTGCTTGGTATTTACTAGCCCTTGATTGCTTGCTGCCTGGAGACCTCCTGTGTCTGGGTGGTTCATTCGTCACTGTCTTCATTGTTTTTCAATACTGGACTGGTAGGCAAATGTTGTTCACTTTCGTGGTTTCATGCTTTCCATTGAAATTGTCCATGTGCTTGTGGATTTCTGACATAGTGGTTGACTGAGTGGTCCAGAATTTCTGTGTTCTCAAATAGTATTCTGCACCCAACACTTGGTTTATCATGTATTCTGCCATTGCTGATTTTTCTGGTTGAAGCCTTCAACCATAATCGTTTTTGACTTATTCAGACTTTAAATAAACATTATTATTATTATTATTATTATTATTATTATTATTATTATTATTGGGTTGTTGTAGGTTTTCTGGGCTACATGGCCATGTTCTAGAGGCATTTTCTCCTGACGTTTCGCCTGCATCTATGGCAAGCATCCTCAGAGGTAGTGAGGAGGCCTAAATAATTCCCATTCCCAAACTAGAACCAATTCTTTTTGGCATATGCTGTGTATAACCTACAACAACCTAGTGATTCCGGCCATGAAAGCCTTCGACAATACATTTAGATTATTATTATTATTATTATTATTATTATTATTTACTATACTTGTATCCCGCCTTTCTCAAACCTGAAGGGGACTCAAGGCAGCTTCACAAAGGCAACAATTCAATGCCGCACATACACATACATCAATGAATAAACAAAAACATTAAAACCAACCAATTAAAACATCACATTAAAACCATTAAAATCACATAGTAAAGGTTCCCCTTGATATTAAGTCTAGTTGAGTCTGACTCGGGGGTGGTACTTATCTCGATTTCTAAGCCAAAGAGCTAGCGTTGTCCGTAGACACCTCTAAGGTCAACTCTAAGGTCATGTGGCCAGCATGACTGCCTGCATGGAGCTCCGTTATCTTCCCTCAGAGGCGGTACCTTGAGAGAAGCTGGCGCAAACAGTGGGAGCTCTCCCCACTCCCCAGATTTGAACCCTGACCTTTTGGTCAGCAAGTTCAGCAGGCTCAGCGGTTTAACCCGCTGTTTCCCCAGGGGGCCCCATCACATAATCCAGGTCATATTCCAAGGCCAGCCCGAGTCGTCATTAAATTAATTTATAGTCTCTTATTGCACTGCTCCCATTATTTCTGAAAGATTGCTTCTCTGAGACACTAACACCTGGGGTGGCCTCCAATCTCCAATCCACCTGGCCGACCTGACTCTGTCCGAACTTGCTCCAAAGGAGCCTTGCCCTCCAGGCTGCTGTGCCAGCAATGGTGCCAACTTGGCCCTGCTTTTCTTCCGCTGAGTTGCAAAGGAAACGGTGGGACAACCCTGCGATCTTCTGAGCAGACTTAAGGCTGGACCAGAAGGAGGACCATCTGCCTGGGTTTTTGGTGGCCAAGTGGGACCAGGCAGATGGCTTCCGGAAGTCCCTCAGCCAGAGGGGAAGGCACTTGCTTTGCCAAACAGTGCCTTTGCTAGCCGGCAGGTGCATGAATCCATGCATTGGAGATTTGGGGGGGGGGGGGGGTCCCCTACAAATCCCTTTTGGATCACAGTTCCCAGAATCCCCCAGCTCTTACATCTGTATCTGCATCCCGCAGTGCGCCATAGGTGAAAACATTTAAGTTGTATATGCGTGCCTTCAAATTACCCTATTCATGAATGCAATCGATTAGTCAAAGTGGTGTTTTACCGTGTTACCATCATCTTAGCATTGGTTGCATTATGGTTTGTGGCTGTCTTTTAAAAAGAAGGGGGGATCTTGTGCTCTGTCAAGTCCCAGTTTAAGCATGAGAGAAATGCAATTATTAGGGAAGGGAAAACCCCTTGTCATGAGGCCCTAATGTGGAGAGAAAAATAAGGTTAACTTCGCAATTGCAAGAGGCAAAATCCCCAGCATTTATGGCCCCACATCCTCTGTTTTGTGGGTGCCTCCTTCCCCATGTTGTGTTTCTTTCTGGAGTTTCTCTTTGGCTCCAAATCCTTTACAATCCCCCCCCCCCCACAAAAAACCCTCAGGGCTCCACTGTTTTCTTGGAGACAACCTTCCGGTTGAGAAACCAGGCCAGGAAGAGTCCTAAGTGCTGCCCGAAGCATTGCAGGGAGATTGAATGAGCAACAAGAAAAGGTGGCCGCCTCAAGACGGGAGGGGAACCGACAAGGCATTTCAGGCAGACGGAGCCAGGACAATGGCTGCATTCCTTCCCCCTCTCTGGGCAAGCACAGGGGCATTTCCTCCAAGTGCAAGCACCTTGCGTTTGTGACGCCCCATGCTCCTTCATGGCAAAAAGACACCCCGTGGATCCCAAGGTTGGCATCAGCAAGCCCTCCTCCATGTTGCCGTGAGTCCCCTTGGCTTCGTTGGAAACTGCTTTCTCTCAGTCCAAGAGTGGAAGGTGGTGGCTCTCAAGAGATCAGCATAGAATGGGAGGCCGAGTGGATGATCTTGTGGTTTCTGTCTCTTGTCTCTTTCCAGGCCAGCCCCTCGCCCATCATTGTCAACACGGACACCTTGGAGCCTGCCCTTTCTGTAAGTTCTCCTCTTCACCTCCACTTGTTCTTCCTTTTTTCCCTCTATCTCTGCCTCTACCTCCATATTCACAATCTCTTTTGTCTTTACCTCCATCAGCATCTCCAATTTCGTCATCTCTCTTTCTATCTCTTTACCCCCATCTCAGCCTTCAGCTCCATCTCCATCTCTCTGTTTCTACTTCAGTCTTCATCTCCACCTCCATCTCTATCTTTGTCTCTGTCTCCATCTTTACCTCCATCTCTACAACCGCTTCTGACTCTATACCATCTCTGTTTCTATCTCTCTCTACATCTCAGTCTTCAGCTCCAGCTCTACCTCTATCCCTTTCTCAGCCTTCATCTC